CTAATACGAGCAGTCTTGTTATAACTAGAATTTGATGGCTATACCTAAAACTCTTTCAAAAATTTTTGAACGATATGAAATGCACCAACGATTTAGCCATATGAACTATTATTATATACTAAGTATTTCTGTTTAGCTGTAGAACACAACTTTGAATTTAATCATTTAATATTAGTTGTTGGAAAATAGAAAGTAGAATCTGAAACTCACAAACGGACCAAAAATACTCTCAGGGGGTTGCAAATTTTGCCTCTAAATTTGGCTGCTAAATTACTATCTCTGTAGTGAGGCTCTGTCAGCGTTCTCTATGGAGTTGCGAGTTTTGCCTCCTAATATGACTGCTCAAAACCTTGCATTTTTCCAGATACGGCGATTTTTGTGATCGATTTTTTCACATTTTCAGAAAAATTAATTTACAAAATAATTCACTAAAGTGAAATTCTCAACCCTGTAGTTGTGTGCTGTCAGAGTGCTTTCAAAGATTGCGAATATTGCCATCAAATAAGACTGCTCAGTAGTTTCTTAGTAGTTTTCGAGATGTGAAATTTTTTCTGGTTTTCAAAAAAGAATACCTCATACCCGGGAAGAAAAGCCCGGGACGGAATATCTCCGCTACGACAACCATCCGCCAAGGGAGTCCCCGAGACCTGTCGGGTTTTTGGGAAGGGGACAGACCAGCAAGCCGGCAACTCTGTCCCGTCAACTTGTTGTGATCATGCTGATCATGACCGGCATTGAGCCAAAACCGGGGCCCAACTGTGGAAGATGCACCAAGCCGTACGGACGACAACAGCGGGTGTGGTGCCACAACTGGGACTGTTGCTGGATCCACCTGAAGTGCAGCGGATTGAAGAAGTCAGCGGAGTGGAACAGAAATTTCTACTGCGCAAAGTGCGTCGAGACGGCAGCGCAGACCGCAAAACTTTCCCCGATCCAGCCAACCCGGGCAATCCCCACGAAAACTGATCCCCCTGACACAAAGAAGGACAAATACCAAGGCGACTCGATGAAGCTGTTTCTCCAATTGAACTGCAACGGGCTGAGAACTAGGCACGTTGAGCTTGCCCACAGGGTCCACGCTAACAAGCCCCTTGTTGTCCTCCTCCAAGAGACCCACCTCATGGAGAATTAAGAGCACAAGCCTCCATCGGGCTATGTCATCGCGGCCAGGAAAGATGAGATCTTCTACGTCAGCAAAGGAAGAGGAGGTGTCCTCACCCTTGTCCGAGAAGACGTTGACTACAGCAGAATCGAAACTGGAACCAACAAACGGACCGATGCAGTCATGATCACTCTCCGAGGCAAGAAGGAAACCACCATCAGTAACGTCTACATCCCTCCCACGAGCAGTAGAGCCGAAGAGGACTGGACGCAGCAGCTGAACAGTCTGCCCACCGGTCGCAGATGCATCATCGCTGGCGACCTAAACGCACACGGAGACTGGGACGAGTTCCAAGATGCTGACGAAAGAGGTAGTAAGATCGAAGACTGGATGATGGGGAAAAGTCTTCAAACGGCCAACGATACCAAGAAACATACGCGGTCCAATCCGGCGACAGGAGGACTGTCGAGCCCTGACGTCCCTATCGCTTCTGAAGACGTTGTGGAGATTATCAGAGAGAACTGGACCACCATCGATGATCTTGGGTCGGACCACCTCCCGATCCTCTTTACCGTCGACGGCGACAAGGTGACCAGGAGAGGGAAGCCACCACTGAAGTAAAGCTACAAAAAGGCTGACTGGAGCGGATTCAGGAGCAAGGTGACGGAGACCGGGGACGCCCCTTGCGGGTCCCTGGAACAACAGAACCGCTCCCTGACCAACACCATCATTGAAGCTGCCAAAAAGCACATCCCCAGAGGCGGCAATAACAAACCCTGGAAGCCGGGAATGCGACGAAGCAAAGCGGAGATGTAACAGGACCAGAAGGAAAGTGGACAGAACCGGCAATAAGGAAGATGTGGACGAACTCCAACAGGCAAGGAGAGACAAGAAAAGGGTAATCGAGTTGGAGAAGAAAAAGTACTGGAATGACAAGTGCCCGAGAATGAACGTCGACACCGACCTCTTTCAGACCCTCAAGAGCTTCAGAGGAGAGGGCCCCTCCGTCCGTGATCCCGCCGCCCTCACCAGAACAGACGAGAACGGGACCAGACTCAAAGACGCGGTGACCGACAAACAGAAGGCAGACCTCTTCTGCCAGCTGTACGCAGGGATCTCTAGAGTTGACAGGACCAGCGAAGACAATCCGGTCAACAGAGAAGCTGCGAAGGCTCTGATGAGCGACTGTAACTGCAACAAGGAAGGAGCCTGCAGCGTCTTCACGCTACGGCAGGTTAAACTGGCCATCAAGAACCTGAAGAAACGCAAAAGCCTCGGCCCCGACGGCATGAGCAACGAAATGCTGAAGCAGCTCCCCGACCCGGCGCTCAAGGCTCTCCTAGCCCTCTTCAACAGGTCCTGGCAAAAAGGAAAAACGCCGTCAGCCTGGCGCGTGGCGACCATCATCCCTATATACATCCCGTCTAGGCAGGCTTCAGGAAAGGCCGCAGCACCGAGCAACAGCTCGTCCGGATCACTCAAGACATCTTTGACGGCCTTGAAGATCAGGCCCCCAGAAGATCGTTAGTGGTGCTCCTCGACTACTCGAACGCCTACGACAGAGTGTGGAAGAATGCCATGAAAAAAAGCTGACAGACCTCGGTGTCCCCGAGTGCGTGATACGGTGGATTAAAGGGTTCCTGACCGACAAGGAGAGCGCGCGTGAACTAGAAGAACACCCTCAGCCGCCTCCGTGTGTTCAGAGAAGGCCTACCCAGGGCTCTGTGCCCGCCCCGATCCTCTGGCTGTGTTACTGCAACGACCTCAACTTTCTCGTCCAAGGGGCCGCCCCCAGCACCGAAGTTAGCCTCTTCGCGGACGACATTACTGCTGCTGTCGTTACTGACAGGTCCCTCGAGCTCGCTGCTACCAGAGTTCAACCTGCTCTTGATGTTATTGAGCACTGATGCGCCTACTGGAAAGTCAGCCTCAGCAAGGATAAGTGCTGCTATACCACCTTCACGCTCGACCTGAAGGAGAACAACAAGAAGAAGCAAGTGGACCTCAGACTCGGCGAACAACGGCTGAATTACGAAGCCAACCCCGTCTTCCTTGGCCTGACACTGGACTGTCAACTCACCTTCTCTGCCCATGCCAAAGAGGTCAAACGGAGAATGGTTGCTAGAAGAAGAGCCATTGCTGGTCGCTCCACCGGAACCTCCCAGAACAACCTCCGCTCCGCTTACATCGCCACCACCAGAGCCGTCGCCGACTACGCCTCAGGAGTCTGGCTTAGCAAGGCCCAGCCCTCGACACGGGACGCCATTGAGGCACAGCAGAACAAGTGTGCCAGAGTCATCACTGGCTGCCTCGGAGTCAAGAGAGTCCCGGCCCTGCTCGCCTGCGCTGACCTTCCGCCGACGAAACGCGTCAGCCAGGAGAGAGCTGCCTGCCTCCGCGAACGTATGCTGCGACTGCCCCATGATACCCCCGCCTGGCGCACCGCCAACAGTTCGACGAGACCTCGTCTGAAGAGCAGAACCCACGAGTACTGGCGCAGAGGCAACGAGGATACTACCGACGCGCACGGACAGTTCCGTGGCTGTTGGAGGCGAATAGCAAAAGAGTTCGATAGCGTCAGCAAACTCGACAAGTTACCCGAGAACCGAACCAACACAGCATCGCCCCCTGAAACACAACCAACAACGACATCCACTTCAGATCCGACCTCGCTGAGATGAAGCTAAAGAGCAGAGCAAAAGACGGAAGAAGGAAAGCAAAAAACGTCCTGCTGGATAAGATCAGAAAAGAAGAACCGTTCTACATCGAATTCTGGCCAGACGGGTCGGCCACAGGAGGTACCACAGATGGAGGAGGCGCAGCCGTCGTCATGACGCGAGGCTGGAGCACCATTCTGAGGACCCCCGCAGGACGTCTCTGCGCGTCGTACCAAGCAGAAATTAAAGCCATCCGCATGGCCCTTGAGTACGTCAGCACACTCGATGAAGATCACGGCAACACGGTGACGATAATGACCGACTCCAAATAATCAATGGAGAAACTCGCCACGGGACCAGAAAACCAAGACTCTGACTGCGGCATCAAGATCTGGAAAGCCTTTAACAAGATCAAACACACCACCTTTTTTTGGGTCCCCTCTCACTGCGGAGTGGCCGGTAACAAAAGAGCCGACCGGGCGGCCAACGAAGCAGCTAACCTCCCACAACAGAACAGACCTGTCAGCCTGGATACCGCAAAGGCAGCGATTGGAAGGGAGAGGAGAAGGAAAGACAAAGCCTTCTACGGCGAACATGAAACAACAAGATAAATGGCGAAGGAAAACCACGGTAGAAACAGAAGGGAAGAAATTACCACCAACCAGTTCAGGACGGGGCAGTCATCACTCTGTAAGGCCACCCTCGCTCAGATAGGTGCAGCCGACTCCCCATATTGCCCTGACTGCGGCCAAGAAGATACCGTCCACCATGTGTTGCATGAATGCCAATGAGGAGAAGAAATCAGACGACGACTTGGAGGATCTGACGACGCCCACTTCATCAAACACTCGGGCGACCTCCAGCGGCTCCTACGGCGGATGGGGCGAACGTATGTTGACACCGATGCGTCAGTAAACGCGTCGTAAGAAGAAGAAGAACTTGCAAATCTTGCGTTTAAATGCGATTGCTCAATTGCGTTTAGCTTTCCAGATGTGACCTTTCTTAGTTCATTTTAAAAATTTTTGAAGAACTTATATAAAACTTCGCAAAATTTTATGATCCTCTAAAATTTGCATTAAAAATTTAAATAAAGAACTTTGCAAAAATTGTAATTACGAACCCTGTAGTTGGGCGCTGTCTGCAGATCTTATTTCCAATATATGCGGTTTATTATGAGTACCGGAGGTGCGTTACACACTAGTACCTCTTTAACTGAGTGGAAGGGAAATGGGCTTTTTCAGATGTGCTTCTCAGTTTGGCTGGCTCTACAATGGTTTCACCTCTTTCCAAAACGCACCTCTGGAAGTTGACTTGTTCACAACGACTGACAATGAACATGGGTAAGTATTAGACGATCATCTATATTAAATAATCCCCAATTCTAGGACGCCTAAGTCGAATATTTATTTTACGAAAAGGTTCTCAGTACATTTTGAAAAATTGGATTGCACATTTAAGACTTCTTTAATTTTTCCATTGATTTGAAAAGAACCTGTTTGCCTGTAATAACTTCTGTATTCCAGCGATTCTTTCTTGTTTGGCTGGAAGCTGTTGCTAATTTTGGCGATTCTCGGACTCACAGTGGCCAGCATTGTGAAGATTCTGGCTCAGTCGAAGAAACCGCAAGACTCGCTGGACAAAATTGTGTACCAGATTGACAACAGCTGCAAGAACTACTACTGGTAAGCAGTTGCATATACCAGAATAAAGCCTAAAATAGCGATTAGTGAAGTAATAAAAGAAATGAATTAAATGGTAACTCAATTTAATCGATTTTTTTTTCTGCGCCAACATCATCTGATTCTGGCGTTACCCTCTCGAAACAAAATTAAGTACAAATTTCTAATCACTGCTTTACTACGTTGCTGCAATTTTCGAGTTGTTCCATCTTTCGAAGAATGTGAGGAGTTTCTTTGAATGGGGTTGTTAGTTTTTTTTACACAAACTATTGATTGAAAATGGTAGAGAGGGGATGGATTCTGAAATCTTTGTGTTTAGAAGCGGAAGTGCTACGCATCATCCTGTAGGCGCTTTGATCCGCCTTACATTGCTCGTTGGCTTTTTAAAAAATGTATCTAAAATTCTGAAATCGTAACTTGAATTATTATAGGCACATAAAATTGTTCGGAACCAAAATTAGGCTATTGGTCTTATTATTCCCGACTGAATTTTCAACTCTTCTCATTAGCATCATTCTCATAGTCATTAAAATTATCTTGCACAGACATTATTCTCGTAGAGCAATCGAATGCAAAACTTATCCCTCTGCCTAAAGCAGCGTGAAAAGTTGATTTTCAAGCCTGATCCTAAATTCCTTTGAAATTCATTGAGGAAGGTGCCTGGCATCAGTTTGGTCGGGGGTAAAAAATTGACAAAAAGGCCCTCGCCTCAGTTTTGCGCCAGGGCTCGGGGGGGGGGGGGGGGGTCTTAAATAAAGCAATATTGTGTATTTTTAAATTAAAAATGAGTTCTGGTTCCGATTATTTGAAATATGGGGAGAAACTTTGTATTCGGGTGTTTTAGTTTTTTCTTAGTTTTTTTTCCACCCAAAATCAGCTAGCATTTTGTTTTCCACGCAAAATCAGCTACCCGCTTATTTATACTTAATTTTAATTTTACTCGAGTAAAGTTAGATTTTGGAGATTTTCAATGCCATTTTGGGAATCAAAAATTCAAAAAAGTTCTGCAAAAAAATTGAATTTTTAGAAATTTTTTTATGATTTCTTTTATTTTTCTAGTCATTTGCTTTGAAATCTGTTGTCCTGTTTGCCTTTTTTACTATGACTGTTGAATGTTTCTAAATGAAAACTTTACGTCAGTTCCTTTTATCACACCACTCAGAAAAAACTACACAAATTTGAAAAAATTCTTGTAGTTTTTTTAAAATCTATGGTCCGAAGATTCACAGTAACCGCTATAGTTGCACAGTAACTGGCTGTTCTTGTTATTTGATATGCCTTTTTGATTTTCGTTGCAGGTTTAGCTGGTCCAATGCTCTTTCTTAAGTAACTGAAAGGATGAGTTGTATAATAAGTCAGGAAAATTTAGTTTCTTTTTTGACCAGAAATTCAGCGCAGGGCAGCGCGAGAAAGGGTAAGGCATGGTAGGGAGTGTGAGGCAGAGCAGGAAGAGGAGGTGCAAGGCAGGGCAGGGTGAGAAGTTGTCAAGGCAGGGCAGGTCGAGGAGGGGCAGGGTAGAGCAGCGCAAGACAAGGCAGTGCAGGCCAAGGGTAGCGCAAGACAAGGCAGTGCAGGGCAAGGGTAGCCTAAGACAAGGTAGATCAGGGCAAGGGCAGCGCAAGACAAGGCAGTGCGGAGTGGCACGGTAGGGTAGGGCAGCGCAGAGCCGGCCGAGGAGGGGCAGAGCTTGGATAGGGCAGGGCGAGGAAGCGCAAGGCAGAGCAGGGATTGCTAGGTAGGATAGAACGAGGATAGGGCAGGGCGAGGCAGCGTAAGGCAAGATAAGGGTGCACATGGAAAAAGGAGCACGGCAGGGAAGGGAAGCCGAAGATGGGGCGAGGAGGGGCAAGGCCTGGGTAGAGTAAACAGGGGCAAGGCCTGGGTAGCGTGAAGAGGTGCAAGAAAGGGCAGCGCAAGGCAGGTCAGGGTTAGCCGGACAGGTCAGGGCGAGGAGGTACGAGGCAGGGAAGGGCGAGGCAGGACAGGGCGAGGCGGTGCAAGGTAGAGTAGTGTAGCGCAAGAAAGGGCATCTATCTATCTGGCGATCTTTTATCCTTTCATCTTTTCAACCAACAATATATCAAGCCATGTATCCAACTTTCTATCCAGTCTGCCATCTTTACAACCAGCTTTCATTCGTTTTTCAAGCCATCCATCCATACATCTAGTCATCTATCTTCTGTTCATCTAGCCAACCAGCAATATATCCAACCATACATCTTATCATCCATCGCGCAACCAGTTTTACGGTTTGTTTCCAAGCATTTTTCCAGTCATCACTCCCGCTAGCTATCTATCTATAAAGCCATCCATCTATCTAGCCTGTTTTTTTTATGCCAACACTCATTCAAGCCCTCCGTCCAGCTAACCACCGTCCATCGGCCCAACCAGCCTACTTTCAAGCGATCTATCCATTCCTCTAGCAATATATCTTGCCAGTCGGCCATATAGTCACCCAACAAAGCATACATTACACCACCCATCTATCTAGCCACGTATCCATCTAGCCATCCATCGTCCATCCCTCCCCTATCTATCAAATCATCCATCTATTCAGGTACCCAGACACCCATTCATGCAGCCATCGACCCATCCATTCATCGAGCCATCCATCCATCAAACCATTCGTTCGTCCAGCTGTCTATCCAAGCATTTATCCATTAAACTATCCATCCATTTGGACATCCAACCAGTCGTCCACCAAAACATCATCCCTTTAACAGTTCTTCCAATTATCATTTGATCTGTTCAACCATCCATTCTTACACACAGCCGTTTATCCAGCCATCTGCCCTTCCATCAAGCCATCTATCTATCTAGCCATACATCATCCGTTCATTCATTCAGCCAGAAATTCATCCAGCCTTCCATCGCCCGTCAATACAACCGGCCTGCTTTCTATGCATCTATCTATCGCCAGCCATTCATCATTCCAGCCAGCCATGCATCCATCTATCCTTCCTTTTTTTTTACACCAAGGCATTATTATCTATATACGCAACCAGCAATCCATCAAGCGATCCAGCCATCCATCTACTCAGTTATCCATCGATCCCACCAGCTATCCGTCTGTATCTGTCTCCTCAGCAATCCAACCAACCATCAATCGATGGAACCACCAAATCAGCCAAATATCCATCCATTTTCCGTCCAGCCATCCATCTTTTAATCCAGCCATTGATATAGCCATCCCTCTATCTAGCCATTGATCCATCCATTCATCCAGCCAGCCATCCATTCTTCCAAGTGCCTATCCACCCGGTCCTACCTCAATCAATACAGCCATACGTCGATACATTAGCCTTCCATCCGTTCATTCATCCAACAACAAGCCATCCGATCAGCCATTTTTTTCCGTTTAGCATTAATGCTGTTGTTTTCAGGAATGTTTTAGCTGCAGATGGGCGCTAGTATGTATGAAATCGATAATGTACAGTTCTAGTTTTTGTGTCCCACTCAAAATCAGGTACCATATTTAATCACCAGATTATTAAATTTTGCTGTGAAAAGGTCACTAATAGACTAGCGTAACTGAAAGAGCTCTATGATATTTTGATGCTCAAAATTTGACACGCCTTATTTACGCGTGGCGAAGTATCCCGCACCACAAAATTTTTTCAAATTTAAGTGAGACAGGCTAATTGGTCTTATTAATTCCACTCACGGTTCTTAATAGTCAGCTTAAATTTCGTAGTTAGTTAGTATTTCTATACCTAAAAACTTTTCGATACCAGTTTTTGGACAGTCGGAACGTTCAGGGCGTGGCAATAGCTTATTGTTCCGACTTTTGAAGAAAAAGGAATTTGTATGCTCTATGTGGTTTTTTATTGAGTCTGTTTGCACCGATCGATATATTATTTTTCAACAAAATTTTTTTCCCCATTGAACATATCGACTTCAAAAGTTTTCACCTCAGATTATGTTTGTAAATTTCTGGGGGTTTGAAAATTGCCAAATTTGTCATGTTCTGGATGAAATTATGCGCGCTTTCAAGAGTTTATTCTTAATGCTGAGAGCGTAACGCGAATTATTTATGCGTGACGAATTATCCCACTCAACAAAATTGTTCCAAATTGAATTGAGGCTCGCTAATTGGTCGTATTAATTTGGTACGACTCAGAATTTTACACTTAGATATTTTTCAAAATGTATAGGTTTTCAATATTTTTTTTCCACAAAAACTGTACAATATAAATTAAGGGACAGTCGGAACATATAAGGTTTTGCCCTGATATACAAACAGTCTTATTAATACTTAATTTTAGCTTTACTAGAGTAACTTTAGTTTTTGGAGTTTTATTGACGCCATTTTGAGAATTAAAACTCCAAAACTTCCTGCAAAAAAAAACTTTATGATTTTGTTTTGATTTGCTGGTCATTTTTCTTCAACAACTGTTTTCCAGTTTGCTTGTTTTACTATGATGTTCGAATATATCTAAGTTGTAGATTTTTGAATGTGTTTTAACTATGGTCGGAACATTCTGTGATAACTGCACAGTAACCGGCTATTCTTGTTTCCTTTACGTGTGGTTGAGTGATGGAAGTTGTGGTGTGTACTAGCTATGCTCTGTCGGTGGAAACTGGCAACATGATGCTAACTGGGACTAGGAACAGGGTGTTTTGCATCCTGCACGGGGAGAAGAGGAGTTCGGAGACCAAGGAGCTGTTCTCGGAAGACGAGGAGAGTGAGGCCGACTGCTTCGCCTCAGCATCCATCACCACTTTTCTAATAAGGTAAACAAATCATGTAGCGTCATAAGTGTGTTGCCACAACCAAGTTTTTGTAGATATTGATTTCCGTTAAGTTTCTGTCAAAATCATTCATCTCCACGAGGGCAATAATCAGCATACGAGCTGTTATTATCGCTATTAGCATACGAATTGTTATTAAGCCGCCGTTCGACTGCTACAATTCAGTTTTGTGATTTTCGGACTAATAATTGTTGCCTCACCCTCAGTGTCATCCGGTCTGGATCGACAAACTCATTACAGGATATTCAAAAAACCCATTTGGGATATTTATATATGATATCTATACTATGTATATTTTATGTTAAACGTCTAGAAGACTGGTCACTTGACCTTGCTAGACACAGAAGACAAAACCAAGTTTAAACTATCGTTCAGAGTAAATTTAACTTTGCCTATCGATCAGTTGTTTTATCTCTCTTCAGCCGATCTTTATTGTTTATCGATCCAATCGGATTCAATAATTAGAAGCACATACCTCTCGGTATGACATGGCGCATCTATCAGGATATTCAAAAAACCCACTTAATATTAACCCATTCTGGGAAAAAGCGTCTGCAGAGCCACTATTAGAATGGTCCAAGTGGGCAGCCATACTAGAAATGGCTGTGTTTGCAAAGCATGGCATCGAAATCCGAAGTTTACTACGAGCAAAACCACCACTAGTCGAATCATCAGAACCAATTTATGAGCTCGAAGTAACAGGCGAAACCGAGGCGCAGAGAAAGAACCGAGACGTTCGGAACCAAGAAAAACGAGTAGGTTGGGAAAACCACGTCATTAAAGCACGCGAAAAAGGAGTCTTGTGTAACTCCTTTCGATGGGATGAAGCGGACGCAAAAGTGCGCAGCTACCTCTTTTTTTGTTTCGGCGCTGAAGGAAAACGACAGATACAGCAAAAACGACCTAATCTACAGCTGCATACAGTAACCATGCAGGAATTTATGACAACATTGGAAGACATTTTTATAACGACACGTATAATAGCTTTTGAAAGTTATAATTTTATCTGCCGAAAACAAAAGAAAGCAGAAAGTTTGGAACAATTCTATGCAGACCTAGTGGAACTAGCCTCACGGGCTGACTGCGGCGACCGAGAAGATGAGTAGGTAAAAAATATGTTTACCTCACACATGAACAACGAAAAGATTGCAGAAGAGTTACTAGCACAAACACGTAGCCCACAAGATTCTTACGAATACGCGATACGACGAGGAAAAGGAATAGAACAGAGTCGTACCATGAAAAATTCGTTTGGAGGTCAAACAACAATCACAAAACAAGAGCCGGTACACTACGTTAATACACGTGGCAGAAATAATCAACAGAATAGTCAAAACAACCAGAGAGTCCGGGGTGGCTTCCGCGGCCGACCATATCCACGTGGAAATCAAAACCCAAGAGGGCAACAACAACAGCGAAACACAAATTCACGACAATGCCTCAGCATCCATCACCACTTTTCTAATAAGGTAAACAAATCATCTAGCGTCATAAGTGTGTTGCCACAACCAAGGTATTGTAGATATTAATTTCCGTTAAGTTTCTGTCAAAATCATTCATCTCCACGTTGGCAATAATCAGCATACGAGCTGTTATTATCGCTATTAGCATACGAATTGTTATTAAGCCGCCGTTCGACTGCTACAATTCAGTTTTGTGATTTTCGGACTGATAATTGTTGCCTCACCCTCAGTGTCATCCGGTCGGGATCGACAAACTCATTACATATATATATATGATATCTATACTATGTATATTTTATGTTAAACGTCTAGAAGACTGGTCACTTGACCTTGCTAGACACAGAAGACAAAACCAAGTTTGAACTATCGTTCAGAGCAAATTTAACTTTGTCTATCGATCAGTTGTTTTATCTCTCTTCAGCCGATCTTTATTGTTTAACGATCCAATCGGATTCAATAATTAGAAGCACATACCTCTCGGTATGACATGGCGCATCCATCAGGATATTCAAAAAACCCACTTAATATTTTTCCATTCTAGGAAAAAGCGTCTACAGAGCCACCATTAGAAGGGTCCAAGTGGGAAGCCATACTAGAAATGACTGTGTTTGCAAAGCATGGCATCGAAATCCGAAATTTACTACGAGCAAAACCACCACTAGTCGAACCATCAGAACCAATTTATGAGCTCGAAATAACAGGCGAAACCGAGGCGCAGAGAAAGAACCGAGACGTTTGGAACCAAGAAAAACGAGTAGGTTGGGAAAACCACGTCATTAAAGCTTGCAAAAAAGGAGTCTTGTGTAACTCCTTTCGATGGGATGAAGCGGACGCAAAAGTGCGCAGCTACCTTTTCTTGTGTTTCGGCGCTGAAGGACAACGACAGATACAGTAAAAACGACCTAATCTACAGCTACATACAGTAACCATGCAGGAATTTATGATAACGACACGTATAATAGCTTTTGAAAGGTATAATTTTATCTGCCGAAAACAAAAGAAAGCAGAAAGTCTGGAACAATTCTATGCAGACCTAGTGGAACTAACCTCACGGGCTGACTGCGGCGACCGAGAAGACGAGTAGGTAAGAGATATGTTTACCGCACACATCAACAACGAAAAGATTGCAGAAGAGTTACTAGCACAAACACGTAGCCCACGTAGCGATACGACGAGAAAAAGGAATAGAACACAGTCGTACAATAAAAAAATCCGTTTGGAGATCAAACAACAATCACAAAACAAGAGCCGGTACACTACGTTAATACACGTGGCAGAAATAATCAACAGAATAGTCAAAGCAACCATCGAGGCCGGGGTGGCTTCCGCGGCCGACCATATCCATGTGGAAATCAAAACCCAATAGGGCAACAACAACAGCGAAACACAAATTCACGACAATGCTATAAATGTGGGAACCAATATGGCCCAAACCACCTACAAACATGTCCAGCAAAAAACAAAATTTGCTCAAAATGTGCCGAACGAGGCCATTTCGCAAAAGTTTGTAGATCCACAAACGTCAACTATTTAGGAAACCAAGAAGATGAACAACAGGAAGAAGTGGAAACAGACGGCCTGGAAACCGAAAATTATTCGCTGGCATTCGCTGAGTTCACATCAAATAATGGATGGGCTGAGTATCAAATAGACAAATTCTCGGTTATGGCAATCGCCAAATCATTTGAGATTAAAAACACATTGTAAAGTTAATTAAAAGTTCGGACCGACAATTTATTAGTCCAATTGTTATTACAGTGAAAAAAGATCAAACAGTTAAATTCGCACTCGACTCAAAGAAAATCAACAAATTCATACACAAAAACAAATACCAGATGCCCAATATCGATCTTCTTCTAGATAATATTGCTCAAGTGGTAAAATCAGACAAATCCAAACAAACGCTATTTTCGACATTAGATCTTTGTTATGCATATTCTTCAAATCCCCCTGGAAAAAACGACGAAAGAACAATGCAGCTTTAGTCTGATTGGTGGTAACGCCACCGGGACATGTCAATTTCAAACGGGATTTTATGCTCTCACGGACATGCCTGCTGAGTTTCAAAAAGCGATCGACCTAACTCTCACGAAATGTACGAACACATATGCATGCTTGGACGATATTTTTATCGTAACCAAAGAATCCCTAGAAATACACAGACAAAAGCTTCAGTCAGTCCTGGAAAAATAAGACGAAGAAAACCTTGCGATATCATGGGACAAATGTAAGTTCGCATGCAAACAAGTTGAATGGTTAGGGTTTAATATTAATAGCGAGGGCACAAAACCCCTTATAAGAAAGACTGAGGCTATAGAAAAATAATCACCACCAAAAACTTTTAAACAACTAAAAATTTTATGGGATCTCTTCACCACCTCACACGATATATGCCAAAATTAGCACAAACCGCCGCCGCCTTACGCCCACTTTTAAAAAACACAAAAAAAAACAAACCACTTGACTGGTCAATAGAGCATAACAAAGCTTTCAAAAACATATTACAATTGGTAGCTGAAATAACACAAAACAATCATTTTGACCAACACCTTGAAACACGCATTGTATCAGATGCATCTACCACGGGCTTAGGGGCCGCACTGGAACAATATTCACCGGAGGGTTGGGTCGCCGTAGCATAAGCATCACGTTTTCTAAACTCCCTTGAGGAAAAATATTCGGTAAGCGAACTAGAACTACTAGTGGTAGTTTGGGCAATCGATAATTTCAAATACTATCTATACGGAAAACATTTCACCGTCATCACAGACCACCAAGCTTTAATCAGCGCTTTAAACGCAAGCGAAAGATCTAAAACGAGCCAAAGCGGGCTCACACGTTGGATCAACCGATTGATACCCTTTCATTTTGATATCAAACACCTCGCGGGGAATAAAATGGGTTTAATAGACTATATGTCCCGAAACCCAGTTGGATTGGCAGTACCCCACCTGTTGATTACGATGAGGAATTTGTTGTAGCATCAATTAGGGCATTCATTACTGACTTAGAAATGATTGACAACGTCCTTCTAAACAATCTAGCCAACCAAAACAAAGCACCGTATGAGCTGATCAAAAAGGGCGTGAAAAACAAAGAGATATTGAATGCCAATTCAAACGCTCAATTAACATCCGAACATTCGAAACATTCCGCACTCGGTCAATCTCAAACTAGCAACAAAAATCAGTTTCAATCACAACTCGCTAGAAAACAGTCAGATCTCTTTCAATTGAAAAGCAAAAACAATCAAACAATCTGCAAAAATTCAGTACACACCATTTCAACAATCCCCGAAAAGCCAAAAATGAGCCGCAGATCGGACACAAAAGGTTTTGACGGGGGATTTATCCCATCGGAGCTAACAGCAAATTAGTCGCGGGGCCGGAAAGAGTCGACACAGACTTGGCAAGGTTCATCGGACCGCGTAGAGAGCCTTTCAGACCCAAGATGGTACAAGCGACCCCCCACAAAAGGGAAGAAAAATACAGGAAACATAAAACAATCGCCACAAGGGCA